AAGCGAACTCATTAAATATAGTGAATATGATAATGGTATACAATACCGACAAGTTGATAAGTAAGACACATGTTTAACAGTTAGATATCTTCGGAAACATTTCGATTACATAGCAGGCTCCTTCAGTCGAGTACAGAGGAGGCAGCAGAAACAGTAGAGATATAAAGTAGCCTACCGTATAGGTGAAACGTTTCGGAATAAAGATACCTAGCTGGTGCAGAAGTTTTTATCAGTAAATATAGAGGGACCAAGACTTTAGCATCCTCCCTTAATACATAAGGGAAATTACCAACCGACGAAATTTGTTGAGTTCCCGTAGTTAGTTCCTAATCAGCCGGGCTGTGGTGCCTGTGCTGGACTGTGTGAGACCAGGACTAATAGCTTTATTGATCAAGCCATCAGGTGGAAGACCTGATGCTGGATCGGGCTGCGGGGACAGTGCCCCCATAACTGTTTATAATAGACAAGCAGGATTCCATGGGTGACCACCCAGAGAGCCGGTTGCAGACCAGGCCTCGTGGTTGATAGTGTGATCAATAAGTTGAATTATAGCTGTGAGCTGACAAATACTTAATAATGATAGATATGTCTGTCTCCAGGAGGGGTTGCCATAGTAGAAACATTCTGAAAACTAGTTATTATATAATACACAACAACGGACCTAAGACTGATCCCTGTGGAACGCCACTTGTTACAGATCCCCACTCGGATTTAACCCCATTTACGCACGCTCTCTGCTTCCTATTGGTGAGCCATGACTCGATCCAGTACAGCACTTTTCCCCCAATGCCATGAGCTGCCACTGTCTTTAACAGTTCTTCTTTTTGATTACAATAATATTTTTTTTATTATAATAAAATCTGGAAACTCGTCACGGGTAGAAAATGAGATTTGTCATTTAAGAATAAAAAGGCACAATACCGTGACTGGAACAGTACACGTCTTACTGGAGGATATCAGAAACACTGCTGGAACAAGTGTAGAAGCCTTTAAGAGAAAACTGGACAACTACCTTCACCAGCTGCCAGATCAACCAGGCTGTGATGGATAGGTGGGGAAGCGGGCCACCAATAGCAACATCCTGGTTGACCAGGCAAACATCAGACGAGCCTGGCCCATGGCCGGGCTCCGGGAGTAGAAAGAGTTTTGATACTTATCAGGAGTTATACAAATAACCTTCATATAGGAGAGAGGAGCTTACGACGATGTTTCGATCCAACTTAGACCACTTACTGTGACTCGTAAATGATCCAAGTCGGATCGAAACGTCGTCGTAAACTCCTCTCTGTCCTATGTTCGAGTTGTTTGAGATCTTTCGTTGTTACGACGTTTTACCTACAAGATGATACTGCGTGAAACGTGACAGTGACAGGTTTCCATTGCTATATGGGTCATTTTTTAATCACTGATCTCTAAGACTGTGCTTGCCAAATTCGGTCCAACCTAGGCAGCACAGTGCGGCTGATCAGGAACATGGCGAACACAGGAGCTATGACTCAGCCTCTGCAAGCACAACTGGGTGAGTACAACGCAAAGTTAACCCAATTAGTTTAAGCAGGGTCTTATTCTATGTATTATTATATACAGTGGTAGTCGTTATGGGAAGAAACTGAATCATTGTATACCATCTGTACCGCCAGATTGTGATGGCTATGTGGAGCTGAGGGCTGCTAACAGCAACAAGCTGGTTGACCAGATTGGGTTGATAGTGTGTAGGGTAGAAGAACGCTTGAAATGGATCACGTGCAAGTAACAGATTTGCTTGGGTGTGGGTATTGGATGGGTTGGTGTGGGTGTGTACTCACCTAGTTGTACTCACCTAGTTGAGGTTGCGGGGGTCGAGTCCGAGCTCCTGGCCCCGCCTCTTCACTGATCGCTACTAGGTCACTCTCCCTGAGCCGTGAGCTTTATCATACCTCTGCTTAAAGCTATGTATGGATCCTGCCTCCACTAAATCGCTTCCCAAACTATTCCACTTACTGACTACTCTGTGGCTGAAGAAATACTTCCTAACATCCCTGTGATTCATCTGTGTCTTCAGCTTCCAACTGTGTCCCCTTGTTACTGTGTCCAGTCTCTGGAACATCCTGTCTTTGTCCACCTTGTCAATTCCTCTCAGTATTTTGTATGTCGTTATCATGTCCCCCCTATCTCTCCTGTCCTCCAGTGTCGTCAGGTTGATTTCCCTTAACCTCTCCTCGTAGGACATACCTCTTAGCTCTGGGACTAGTCTTGTGTGTGGGTGGGTGGGTGTGTTGGATGGGTTGGTGTGTGTGTGTGTGTGTGGGTGGGTGGGTGTGTTGGATGGGTTGGTGTGTGTGTGTGTGGGTGTGTGGGTGTGTTGGATGGGTTGGTGTGGTGTGGTGTGGGGGTGGTGTGGGTGTGTGGATGGGTGGGTGTGTGTGGTGGGTGGGTGTGTTGGGTTGGTGTGTGTGTGTGTGGTGGGGGGGGGGGTATGGGTATTGGGTGGGGGGAAGTATCACTCATAACCTTGTGTTCTACATTTTTCATTCACAAATAGCTTACACATACATTTCGCTCTTTCCCGGACCATTATGAGCTGATAATGGCCAAGGACGGACTCGAACCTTATTCTTTTCTCTAAAGTGCCAGTTATTTGTGACTTGCTCCAGGCACGGTATTTTCACTTTTATTGTCTTTTTCATAAATAATATATATAATTATATAATATATTATATATATATATATTATATATATATATCAATATATATATATATATTTGGTCCGCCTTGGTGTAAATTGTGGACCCACAGCCTCGGAGAAGTGGACAAAAGGCTTCGAGGAAGAATTATTTGGATTTCTTCTGAAGCCGTTTGGTATCCACTTCCCCCACCACCATCTTTTCATATTTTTTTTTTACCAATAGGAATATTTTATTACATAATATGGTACAGAAGATATAAGAAGAACATTGTTGATATAAAGGTGGCATAATTCGGTACATGTTTAATGTGGTATTACCGATTATAGGCGAAAATTCATCCAGCTCATCAGAGCTGGGGCGTTGCCATAATACAGGAGGCATATTATATATTATATATTATATATATATATATATATATATACACACACACACAAAACAACCACTCTGAAAAATATAGAAAATTCCAAGCGCTTTCGAGACTACTCAATTATAATGATAATGTGAGTAGTCACGAAAGCGCTTGGAATTTCTCTATTCTTTCAGAGTGGTTGTTTTGCATATTCTGAAATCACCTGTTTACTGTGATCTTATTGCATATATATATATATATATATCAACAAGTCGGCCGTCTCCCACCGAGGCAGGGTGACCCAAAAAAAGAAAGAAAATCCCCAAAAAGAAAATACTTTCATCATCATTCAGCACTTTCACCACACTCACATTATCACTGTTTTTGCAGAGGTGCTCAGAATACAACAGTTTAGAAGCATATACGTATTAAGATACACAACATATCCCTCCAAACTGCCAACATCCCAAACCCCTCCTTTAAAGTGCAGGCATTGTACTTCCCATTTCCAGGACTCAAGTCCGACTATATGAAAATAACCGGTTTCCCTGAATCCCTTCACTAAATATTACCCTGCTCACACTCCAACAGATCGTCAGGTCCCACGTACCATTCGCCTCCATTCACTCCTATCTAACACGCTCACACACGCTTGCTGGAAGTCCAAGCCCCTCGCCCATAAAACCTCCTTTACCCCCTCTCTCCAACCCTTTCCAGGACGACCCCTACCCCGCCTTCCTTCCCCTATAGATTTATATGCTTTCCATGTCATTCTACTTTGATCCATTCTCTCTAAATGACCAAACCACCTCAACAACCCCTCTTCTGCCCTCTGACTAATACTTTTATTAACTCCACACCTTTTCCTAATTTCCACACTCCGAATTTTCTGCATAGTATTTACACCACACATTGCCCTTAGACAGGACATCTCCACTGCCTCCAACCGTCTCCTCGCTGCTGTATTTACCACCCAAGCTTCACATCCATATAAGAGTGCTGGTACTACTATACTTTCATACATTCCCTTCTTTGCCTCCATAGATAACGTTTTTTGACTCCACAAAGGGCTCTGGTGGCCTGGTGGTTAACGCTCTCGCTTCACACGGTGAGGGCCTGGGTTCGATTCCCAGCCAGAGTAGAAACATTGGACGTGTTTCTTTCCACCTGTTGTCTATGTTCCCCATCAGTAAAATGGGTACCTGGGTGTTAGTCGACTGGTGTGGGTCGCATCCTGGGACACTGACCTAAGGAGGCCTGGTCACAGACCGGGCCGCGGGGGCGTTGACCCCCGGAACTCTCTCCAGATAAACTCCAGATAAACATATACCTCAACGCACCACTCACCTTTTTTCCCTCATCAATTCTATGATTAACCTCATCCTTCATAAATCCATCCGCCGACACGTCAACTCCCAAGTATCTGAAAACATTCACTTCTTCCATACTCCTCCTCCCCAATTTGATATCCAATTTTTCTTTATCTAAATCATTTGATACCCTCATCACCTTACTCTTTTCTATGTTCACTTTCAACTTTCTACCTTTACACACATTCCCAAACTCATCCACTAACCTTTGCAATTTTTCTTTAGAATCTCCCATAAGCACAGTATCATCAGCAAAAAGTAACTGTGTCACTTCCCATTTTGAATTTGATTCCCCATAATTTAATCCCACCCCTCTCCCGAACACCCTAGCATTTACTTCCTTTACAACCCCATCTATAAATATATTAAACAACCATGGTGACATTACACATCCCTGTCTAAGACCTACTTTTACCGGGAAGTAGTCTCCCTCTCTTCTACACACCCTAACCTGAGCCTCACTATCCTCATGAAAACTCTTTACAACATTTAATAACTTACCTCCTATTCCATATATATATATTATATATATTGACAGATGTTCATTACACTAGTTATCCATATATCCATCATATATTAATAACACGATGTGTTCTAATGCTATATTTTTTTTCAGAATACTGCTGCCAGTCCAAAGATCTCCTTCCGCGGAAATGAAGGGGTAAGTGTTGTTTATAGTAGCATCGGTCATCTGCCTTGAGGACTGCTCCTAGACCAGGCCTCCTGCGTGTTGCCCTTCTTTAGTAGCGTTAGTATCAAGTGTTGATTTCTGGGGGCCGTAGCCTAGTTGATAGCCTCATTAATCAGGCTATAATGCAGTAGCGCATAGTCCCATGTAGACACCCCAGTCTGGCAGACTTGCGAACTGACAGCTAGGCATCTGTTAGTAATTCCCCTCTAATGTACAAAGCTTGTGCAAGAGTCTCGAATGGTGCAGGCTGCTACCAGCAATACCCTGGTTGATCAGGAAGCAAGGATGCCTGACCCGGCTTTGTCTGCGAAGGTAGAGTACTTGTAACCTCTCATATTTATTATTATTATTAGTAGTAGTAGTAGTAAGATTAATACATGTGTGTGGCAGGGTTTGTGTATTAGAGGGGCAGATAGGAAGGCACTGCTGCAAGTGGAAGGTAAGTTGGGAATAACAGTGAAAGTTGGGCAGAGTCTAGTCAGGGTTGACGATGCAGGTGGCGATGTTAGATACTGGTGGTGATGCAGGTTGTGGTGATGGTGATGATGGTGGTGGTGGTAGAGTCGTTGTGGAAAGAAGTTGTGGTGATGGTGGAAAGTACAAGTTGTGGTGGTGACGGTAGTGGAAAGCACAAGTTGTGGTGGCGAAGGTAGTGGAATGTACAAGTTGTGATGGTGGTAGAAAGTACAAGTTGTGGTGGTGATAGTAGTAGAAAGTACAAGTTGTGATGGTGGTGGAAAGTACTAGTTGTGGTAGAGTATTGGTGGTGGTGAAGGAAAGTGGTTGGTGAGTGGGTGGTGCAAGGTGAGCCAGGTTTGGCCCACTGCAAACTGCATCCCCCATTGTGTTGGAATTGGGGTGGTGGTGGGGGGCTGCCAGTAGTGTTGGGGCGTAGGGGAAGGGGAGGTGGTGAGGTTTCCACATGAAAGGAACCAGGCCATTCAAGCTAAATGAACAGTCCAATGACAATAGCAACCACAACCATGCAGACTAGATTGTATTTTGACTGAGAAAGAAGAATGTCAAGATAGGAGGAAATTGTAGCAGTTCCTGAGAGACGTTGGCCACACTACACTCCCACCAGCTGCTATATAACTTCAACCCACGGAACGATGGGGGTTGAATCCATGGCGAGTGAGTCGTAAAATCTGCACTTAAAAAATTCCAGCATATGTACGAAAAAAAATGTGATATTAATTTTTGATGATTAAGACACATGTGCAACAGTTGGATATCATTATTGTTGAAGCATTTCGCCTACGCAGTAGGCTTCTTCAGTCAAATACAGAGGCAGCAGGTGTAGTAGTGAAATGAAAATGTAATCAGTCTGTCAACCTTGGAGAAATACATGTAGTATTGAGGTGGTCAGTCCCTCAGAGCCTGGAGAAGAGTTCAGCTCCATGGTCTGGAACGATATCGTTCCAGAGTTCAGTTTTGTCAGCCATTACAGCTTGACAAAGCTCTTGGAGAGCGAAACGTTGTCAAACTAGTCGGATCTGTGTCTGTTTACCTAACAAGACAAAATTGGTTTACCTACAGAGTTGTAGCTGAGTGGGATAAACTGTCAGGTAGTCATTGAAGCGAGAACCTGGAGTGACTCCAGAACTAGGTTGTACAGGTACAGGGTGTGGATGGGTCTGATCTGGACCTTCTAGCATGGGCCAGTAGTCCTGCGGCAGTGCTCCTCCATTCTTGTGTACCTTGGGGAACAGAACTTTTCTCTGCTACAGCCTTTAGTTTTACTCTGTTTACTTTTGAACTTGTTGCCCCCCACCCCAGTCTTGATGTACCCCACCCCAGTCTTGTTGTACTCCACCCCAGTCTTGTTGTACTCCACCCCAGTCTTGTTGTACCCCCACCCCAGTCTTGTACTCCACCGCAGTCTTGTTGTACCTCCACTCCAGCCTTGATGTACCCCACCCCAGTCTTGTTGTACCCCACCCCAGTCTTGTACTCCACCCCAGTCTTGTACCTCCCCCCAGTCTTGTACCCCCACCCTAGTCTTGTACCCCCACCCCAGTCTTGTACCCCACCCCAGTCTTGCTGTACCCCACCCCAGTCTTATTGTACCCCACTCTAGTTTTGTTGTACCCCCACCCTAGTTTTGTTGTACCCCCACCCCAGTTTTGTTGTACCCCCACCCCAGTCTTGTACCCCCACCCAAGCTTTATTGTACCCTCATCCCAACCTTATTGTACCCCCACCCCAGCCTTATTGTACCCCTTAACAGCCTTGTTGTACTCCTTAACAGCCTTGTTGTACCCTTTAACGGCCTTGTACCCCTCCCCAGCCTTATTGTACCCCCTTTACAGCCTTATACCCCATCTCAGCCTTATTTGCACCCTCACTCCAGCATCTCTTGTACCCGGAGCCCAGCCTCTCCTTTACCCCTACTTTATCCTCTGCTCTACCTCACCTCACCCCAGCCTCTCTAAAAGCCTTTTCTTTATCCGCACTTCATCAGGTGGAGGTAGGGCAAGTAGAAGTCCTAACTGAGGAAATCTAGAGGCCGCCTTCCCTATGCTATATTAAAATGACAGCTCAATTCAATGTCATTAAAAATCATTTACAAGTATGGCTGAAAGTGTGAAGCGTGGGTAGGTGTGGGTGGCAGCGTGGTGCTGGCAGATCAATGCTGCTGCTGCTACACCCCTCCTCCCATACCAGCCCACACACCAACCAACCCTCACTCCACTCCCACCCACATCTTCACTCCTCTCTTCTCCCACACCTACACTCCTGTCATCTCATCCCCCCCTACCACCACCTCCACCCCTTTTCTCTCTCCTTCCCCAGTCACCTCATGTCTTCCCCTGCAAGTCAGGCTAACCTGTACAACACTTGTTGAGTGTTCCCGGCGCCGCTGCTGCTCCTGCTAGCTTCCTGCCTTACTCCTGCCCCGCCCCGCCCCGCCCCGCCCCGCCCCGCCTCCTACCCTTCCTCCGCTTCCTTCAGCCAAGGCTAACACAACTGTACGGTATTTTTTTCTTTAAGTACGGTACAAAATTACGATACGGTATTTATGATAGGAAGATAGGTCTGGTACCAAATCGCGTGGTCGATAATACCCGAAACCGTCTTCATGTAATATACCATACCCAGGGGAGAGAGAGAGAGAGAGAGAGTGAGAGTGAGTGAGTGAGAGTGAGTGATGTAGGTAATAGTTCTTAGCTTGTAAATAAAGTTAGGAATCCTTGTATAACCCTGTGTAAAAGAGACACACACACAGACGCGGATAGGAGGGGGGGGGGACAAGCAAGAAGTCATCTGCCAAATTGAAAGTAACTCTTAATACTAGTTACTCTCTTATGCAAAAGCTAAGGCAAAAAATATCTTGTAATGTTAGTTCCTTGCTTAATGGAGGTGGAAATTTCACTGATTACATTAAAGAGAACATCACAACTAGGGACACTACAGCTGACGTAGTGAGAATGACATGTATCCATGATGGAAACATAAACACATATGCAGTTTAATGTTATCCTTTATTGACAACGTTTCGCCCACACAGTTGGCTTTTTCAAGTCACAAACAGTGTGGGCGAAACGTTGTCAATAAAGGATAACATTAAACTGCATATGTGTTTGTTTCCATTGTGTCGGTATTTTATACCATTTATTTTCATGTAGCATGATGTTGAAACAACCCAGCTAGCTGCTCCAGGCCCAGACTCACAGTCAGCTACTCTTGACTACCAGCGCCCACCCGACTCACAGTCAGCTACCTGCTCCAGGCCCAGACTCACAGTCAGCTACCTGCTCCAGGCCCAGACTCACAGTCAGCTACCTGCTCCAGGCCCAGACTCACAGTCAGCTACCTGCTCCAGGCCCCAGACTCACAGTCAGCTACCTGCTCCAGCCCAGACTCACAGTCAGCTACCTGCTCCATGCCCAGACTCACAGTCAGCTAGCTGCTCCAGGCCCAGACTCACAGTCAGCTACCTGCTCCAGGCCCAGACTCACAGTCAGCTACCTGCTCCAGGCCCAGACTCAGTCAGCTACCTGCTCCAGGCCCAGACTCACAGTCAGCTACCTGCTCCAGGCCCAGACTCACAGTCAGCTACCTGCTCCAGGCCCAGACTCACAGTCAGCTACCTGCTCCAGCCCAGACTCACAGTCAGCTAGCTGCTCCAGGCCCAGACTCACAGTCAGCTACCTGCTCCAGGCCCAGACTCCCGTCAGCTACCTGCTCCAGGCCCAGACTCACAGTCAGCTACCTGCTCCAGGCCCAGACTCACAGTCAGCTACCTGCTCCAGGCCCAGACTCACAGTCAGCTAGCTGCTCCAGGCCCAGACTCACAGTCAGCTAGCTGCTCCAGGCCCAGACTCAGTCAGCTACCTGCTCCAGGCCCAGACTCACAGTCAGCTAGCTGCTCCAGGCCCAGACTCACAGTCAGCTAGCTGCTCCAGGCCCAGACTCACAGTCAGCTACCTGCTCCAGGCCCAGACTCACAGTCAGCTACCTGCTCCAGGCCCAGACTCACAGTCAGCTACCTGCTCCAGGCCCAGACTCACAGTCAGCTACCTGCTCCAGGCCCAGACTCACAGTCAGCTACCTGCTCCAGGCCCAGACTCAGTCAGCTACCTGCTCCAGGCCCAGACTCACAGTCAGCTACCTGCTCCAGGCCCAGACTCACAGTCAGCTACCTGCTCCAGGCCCAGACTCAGTCAGCTACCTGCTCCAGGCCCAGACTCACAGTCAGCTACCTGCTCCAGGCCCAGACTCTCAGTTTTGTGATGAATGGTTTTGAAAACCGACAGGTTGAAGAATTGAGACACTTATGCAACATATGGGAATCTTTATTAAAGAAACGTTTCGCCACGCCGTGGCTTCATCAGTCCTATACAAAGCAGGAAGGTATAAGGAGAGGAGGAGTTTGAGGTAATCAGTCCCTCAGCCTGGAGTGGATGTGTTCAGTTCTACAAGATTGATGGACTGGACACATCGAATCCAGGCTGAGGGACTCATTA